GTCCAAAAGGTAGGTCGGGGCTCGCAATCAAAAGATGGCATGTCTGGCGTGACATGGAGAAAGTGGCGTTATGATGCCACTACAATAGCAAAGCACAGTCATGAGCTAATCTGGGCATGAGATTACCAGAGCAATTGGAAATTGATAAATGGTCCAGCTGCTTGCATAGGTCGGGTTATGCCCACCCTATATAGGCTACTTCCAGATAACGCAGGGCCCGAGTTCTTCGTGTCCAAATAAGTACTTGGAAAGCTGTTTTGCTGTCAGCAGGTTGACCGCTGCCGAGCAGCTGATTCATAATCGAGGACCGAGGTATTCTGTTTTCTTGTTTGAAAAACCAGTTAGGCAAATATTCAGCGGCCCTGGCTGTCAACTGCCTTAGTTTTCGCCCAATATATTTGCATCCGGAAGTGTATGTGAATTCATACACAATTTGGGCTGGCGTGCAACGGCTAGGCATCTTTTGCCCGGTTAATTGGAAGGTTTTTATAGGATTTATGAAGACCAGTTCAGCTAAATTGTACGTCCTTTCTGCTGCGCGGTAAAACCGTCATTTGATTGTGCTTGAAATACTATCAACCTTAAAGGGTAAAGATATAATAGCGGGCTTTTTGGAACTGACTGTTGCGTCAGTTTTGGCCGTAAAGGGTTGGACTTTTGACTGAAGCGTGCAGGATAGCCACACTTAAATAAGGCTGTTTTGATGCGGGCAGTTTCTGTATCTAGGCTCTTACTAATACAAATATTCCTCATTTTTTGAAGAAGGGTATGCACTAGATTTCATTTCCAGTGTATGGGCGCAAAACTTGTTAAATATAAGTATCGCCCTTTTCAGGTGTTTTGTGGGAAACAGAGCAGCCTATTGAACCATCATTCTCTCTTAACATGAGGACGGTTAGGAAAGGTAGTTTATGACAATACACCATTTGCGTTGTGAATTAAATCGTTAGATGCAAATTGTTTATAACATTATGAAGGTGTTCAACCTATTCCTTCTTATAAACAGTCGTAAATATAGCATCGGCATATTGTTATATTCAGTTTTGACTACACCTTTTTTTCTAGGTGACTCATAAAAACGTTGACGAATGTGGCCCCGATAGGAATTCCTATTGCGACTCCGTCAAGTTGGCTGTAGAGTTGTCCATTTAACAATACTTGAACATTTTTGGTGCAAAGTATCAACAGTTCACGTATTATTTCAGGCGACAGAAGGGTTTCAGGCACACGAGTGCATGTAGCATCCATTCTTTCATCCAGTGATAGATTTGCAAATGATGATTAGACCTTTGAGAAAATCATACATACAATACCAATCGGTACTGTCTTACGCAATCAGATGCGATTATTACAGGCCGCATCATATCAGTTCAGATAATCCGATTTTGCTTCTAAGGCAACAGTATCTTATGTAGGCCTACTCATTAATTCCTACTCCCTGCTTGTTTTCCTACGCAAACGGTGGTTATAGGGTTTTATGGGTGGGGAATTAGAACATGTAGTGGAATATATTTTAATAAATGCTAAATACATTTTTATTTTACTGCATTTAGAAGTGCTGTTGATTTATATCTGTAGATTT